AACTACATTGAGCTCTAACCCCGCCATTTGCCAAGCTGAGTAGTTGTGTTTTTGTGACCATTTACATGAGTTTTCAGTGTACATGTGTCATACCAGTCTCTAGCAGATTGAAATCCAAGCAGAGGACAAATAAAAGGTGTCCTTTTCTTAATCAAGGGCTCCTGTAGGGGCAGAGGCCTGTTTTCCTCATTGTGATAGTGGGCACAGCACTTAGGAGCCGTTTCCTTTTGAGACACAAAATCAGCCACTGAGCTTCCAGTGTCCCCCAGAGAGGTTTATTCCTGCTTTCCAGCATTAAAACTCTCTCCCAACTTTGGGCTGTGTGTTCCAGACTCGGAAGACAGCAGGGTGGCTGGCAGCAGAGCTGTCCAGGGAAGGCCATCAGGTGGCCTTGCTCAGTGGGGAGATGATGGTGGAGCAAAGAGCTGCTGTCATTGAGCGCTTCCGAGAGGGCAAGGAAAAGGTGCTGGTGACCACAAACGTCTGTGCCAGAGGTAGGATATGGTGGAGCAGGACTTGAGGGGGGCTGGAGGCAGCACTTCCTGAGATGACACACCCTTGGCCAGCTTTCAGGGAGAATTTCCACCCTCAGATATTCCAATCAGGACAAATTAGTGTCCTTACAGTAAAGATACCCATGGGCAAACACAGGATTCGTTGTTGGCTTCCTACAGCTTGAGATGGAAAAGTCCATCCCGTGAGAATTTTCTGCTTCTGGCACCAAGCCTGACTTGTGCTGCTGACCCTCAGGGTTTGCAATAAACCTGCTGAAGTATAGAAAGCTGAAAAATATTGAAATCCAGTTCAGTATTCCAGTAGGAATTTTTGTTGCAATTTGGCATCCTAGAACAGTTGAGACAGGGTAGTCTTTGGAAAAAAAACAAGTAGTCCATGAAGCTTCACAGAGGAGCAGAGAGTTTCCAAAATATTTGAGTGCTAGTTAAAGCATCTCCAATTGTTCTTCCTTTGACTGTTTCAGTGGGATTTTCTGCTCTAACTAGATTGGTTTTATTTCCAAGTACACTGTGAGAATATTGCACAAAAGCTCCATTACAGAGATTGAGGAGGCTGTTCCTGATCTGAAAGGCTTTAAATGTAGTTGTATAACATGATTTCTTTTTTGTCAGGGATTGATGTAGAACAGGTCTCTGTCGTTATCAATTTTGACCTCCCTGTGGATAAAGATGGGAATCCAGATAACGAGACCTACCTGCATCGGATCGGCCGCACCGGTCGCTTCGGCAAGCGAGGACTGGCCATTAACATGGTGGACAGCAAGCACAGCATGAACATTCTCAACAGAATCCAGGAACATTTCAGTACGTACCCCCAGGCTTTCTCCTGTCTCTAAAATTGTGGAATTCCTGCAGAATTCTCAGTAGTTGGATGCTGAGCAGATCTAATGGGTGTGATGTGTTACAAAATCTAACCAGTTTCTCGTCTTTCCCAGACAAAAAGATAAACAAATTGGATACTGATGACTTGGATGAAATTGAGAAGATAAATAACTGAAGTAGCTGCTGGAACTGGTGTGTGCCCTGCTGTGGAAGCTCTCCCACTACAATTGGATCAGCGTTTGGATTGGCACAGCCTCTCAGCTCATCCCGAAAAGAACTCTTCAAGATATGAGTACACAAAAATTACCTCATTTTCAAAATTGCAGTGGGACTTCAAATTGTGCAACTATGGGGAGGAAGAGGAAATGTTTACAGAAGCTTTTAACATTTCTTAGTTTAGCCTTAAAATGGGATGAACTTTGCAATTCTGAGAAATACACTTGCCAAAAGAGGGGCAATATAGAATTATCTAAAATTTTAAAAAGAAAAAAAAACATTATTGCCTTTAATTGGAATAATGTGCAGCATTAACTTGATCAGTTTAAATTCAACAGCTGAATTATATTCAGCTGTTGATATAAGTGAAAAAAATTGTTGATATAAGTGGAAAAAAAACCAACAACAACAACAACAAAAACCCAAAAAAGGCAGCTGGTTTTTGGCTAAATACTCAACTTGTACAAACTAGGATGTCATTCTCTTGGCACTCCCCTGAGCTCTTTAAGTCTCATTTCTGGCTTCCTGATGGATTTGCCCTGCTTTTCCTTACGTATATTGTCCTGAGGATGTTTCCAGTAGCTCCTACTTGCAACCACAGGTGCCGTGTTGCTTTTGCTGGGCAGTATTTACTTTTCCCTTGTCCTAGATTTGTTGGAATGGCCTCTCCTCGTGACAGGGGGTGGTGGTGACAGTACAGAAGTTCATCTGAAGTGTTTAACTTGGCTAAGGGGTGGGTGGGTGGGTGGGATGGGAGGGTTCAATATGAAGGGAACTGTACTAATTAATTGTCTGCTTAAATTCCCCTCTGTGAATTAAATTCCCCTATGTGATTCAGTTCCCTATGCTGTGAAGCTCAGCATGGATAATGTACAGAGCTGCTGGGCTTCACCCACCAGTTATTTAGGAATAAAAGAAACAAAAGATCATGATAGTCTGTATTAACCAAGAAACTTACCTTTAGAACACCAAGTTTACCTGTTACAGTACCAGAGTTTTGAGTTAAATTGCTCAGCCAAATTGCAGGTAGGAAGTGCTCCACAGTGCAAAATAGGTCACTGGTCCCTGCCCTGGGGCGTTCTATGGAGAAGGTAGGATTCACAATTCCTGGAGAAGAAAGCATTTACACCTCCTGTGTGTTGGGACCATTCTTGTGCGCACAGATGGAAGCCTGTGGGCTGTTCCCTAGCCCAGTTTCCAGGAGAAGGAGGCTCCTGAACTAGAACTTAGAGTGCACAGCTCTCTGTTGGGGGGGGAAATGGGACAAGCGTGAGCAGCCATGGCCCTGCTACTCAGTATGGGAATCATGTCAAAACAAATGTATAAATTGTAAATTTAAACTATTACTTGTTTTCTTTGCAATTCTGGCCACCATATTCTGTTCAAAGACAGGAACATGGATCCTTTTACCAAGTAAAAAAAGGCTCATTTAAAATGTACCTAAAATTTTAGGAAATTGTGCACCCTTTTATCAATTTGTATAAAAGCTTTAGTGAAGAAAAAAAAAACGCTTAAAATTAAACTTTTTGTATTCTGGGGTGTATCTATTTTTATTCTGTTGGAATCCTATTTAAAGTGGCAGGTGAGTGAGTGCTTGCGTGTCGAGTGGAAGACTTGATATTATCACCTACTTTCCCAGTACAGCTGAATGACCTGGTGACAGCAGAGTATTGGGCTGAATTGTCATGGAAGCTGCTGCTGGTCCTGTGTGCTGTTTCTAATGTACTTTTAATTGGAATAAAGAACACATACCGAATGATCCCTTTGCTGATTTCTTACTTGAATGCTCTGTTGGTGTTTAAAAGCCTCAGGTAAGGACGTTACCAGCCAGGAGTCATGGTAAGTTTTCTATTTATGACCACCTCATCCTGTGACAGACTGAATTTTAATGCTGAAATCCTTAAAAGATTCCCACAAGGAAATTTGTTAAGTGATGTCACACAATAAACGAGGTCAAATAAATATTGTTCTTCCCCCCAGTGCTTCTTGTGCTAGACTTGTTGCTTCTAAAACCTCCCCAGAAGAGTTTTGAAGGGAAGAGAAAAAGGACTGAGGGAGAAAAGAGTTGTTTTCCCTTCACTGTGCTTGCCTAGATAAAGACTTCTGTGGGTTTTGGACAAAGAAATCATTAAAATGCTCATCTTTGGAGATGCTGTAGCCTTGGTGAGGTGGTTAGAACCAAACTCATCCAGCTTTAGCTTAAATATGCAGGAGGAACATCCTCCACCATGAGAAGTCCACTGTGATCTAGATTTATTATGTTATCTTACTCTTCTGTTCTTATTTAGAGATCAGCCCCTGCACTTTCACATCTCTGTGGTGGTCCCTGTGTCTAATAACAGCTTGTCACTGATCCAAAGTGCTTCCTCCCTCACTGCTGTGCTGTATCCAACACAGGATGGAGAGCCAAACTCCAGGAAGACCAGGGCAAGGTGGTGTGGAGGGCAGCTGACTATCCAATAGCTGATTTGGGCAATCCCTGAGCTATCTGCCATCAAATTAAGGGCATTTCTTAAGAGGAGATGTGATGAATAAACCTCCAGCTCACATAAATCCTTTAAAGTTCAAGTTTCAACCTGAAAGGTTTTATTGGCTGTACTATAATGGCCAGTCTCTTCGCGAACGAAGAACCGGAGAAGGTCTTTCCACCTTCCAGCCTGCGCATTGGACTTTTTTAGGTGAGACACAGTGTGCGCGGAACTGAGCCCACCCTTTAATCCTGAGGTTCATCTGCCGGGGCCAAGCACGCTTGGACGGTGGCAGCGAGGTCCTCAGGACGTAGATGGATTGCCTTACAGGGCTAACGAGCTCCATCTGCCCGGGGAGGGGCCCCGACCGGGAATCGAACCCAGATCTCAGCGTTGACAACGCTGTGGTTTAGCCACTGCACCACCAGGGACACTCATTGGCTGTACTAACACAGGATGGAAACACTGAAATGGTGAAGTAACACAGTGCACAACAGTCAGAACAAGGGATTTAACCACCTAATGCTGAAAGGAATATAGAAAATCGTTCCTTGTCCTGAACTTCTTTGCTCCCCACTATGGTTTGGTTGAAAGCATCCATATGTTTCAATATCTGAGACTGCTGCTGTGCCATTCCATCACCCACCACCCAGCAGCAGGTAACTGTTCCATCAGGTACTGGTTTTACAAAGCCACTGGATGCTGAACGCTTACTTAAGATCAGATACTACACTTGTGATCAGCACCAGCATCAGCTTTCTGCTGCTGTTGTGTTTCTGCTCCTGAACTGGGCTGCTCTGGCAGTTACACTTAAACTGGGTTTGCCTCAAACCATTTAAACTTGCTCATCTCTGTGGCAAGTGATCCATTTTTTAAGTAGATTGAATTATTGCCTTTGAATTTCCATTGTAGTTACCTAAACCTGCCAAGTCACCCAAACAGCCTTTTAATGATGCTGTAAGCCAATTCCTCAGTCAAATCCCATTAATAAATTTTTATTTTAAAACTCCCAAAATAACACTTTGCTTCTTGGACTAACTTCAGTGTAAAGGTGTTAAATGGAACTATTTGTAACATCCCTTCTTAACTATCCATCTGTTCTTACCTGCAGATCACACAAGCTGAATGAGAGAAGGAAAACTAAGGAGAAAATCCTGCTGCTCACCAAGACAAAATAATAACTATTTGTTCTTAAAAAGGTGATTTAGTCACAGTAAAGAGGTGGACTGAGGTTACCCAGAGAGAGCTGAGTTCTCACAGGTATTTTACAATCAGTCTTGCAATTTAATACTTCCTAATAACCCTTTAATGTGTTAATACTCTTGCTTCCAGATGGTTTGGGGGTTTAAACTCCTTTTCAGCCTCTTGAGATGTTTAGGATGATGATCAGCTACTGAAGGTGGTCCTGCAGGTAAAACAGTTCTGCTTCTACCTTCCCAAATAGGTGCATCCAGGTCCACTCTGGGAAGTGGTACCTTCCCAAAATAGAGAAAAGGAGAAGAGTAGAGGTCTTGGAAACTTGGGTTTTAGAAACTTGGAAACTTTCAACAAACCAAAAAGGCTGAAGGTTGGTGGCACTTACAAAGCAATTTGTGATGGCACGGGTGAAACAAGCTGCTCTTTATGACACAGGTTTATACATCTGAAATACTATTTCTCAACATCCATACCTCTACTTCATGGGAATTTGTGAAAGATGGCAAGAAGTAGGCCCAGGAAACATCAGAGTCAGGTTTTTTGGAAGAAGCAATGCATCCCACTCAGCAGAACAACCCATCTCCATGTGCCTAAAGATCTGCATCATGCTGCTTGTCCTGTCGAATGCACAGCACAGTCTTGTGGAGGATCCCACATTCATGGAGGGACTTCGTAAGGTCAGAGAAGCTCCTCCGGGGCACTTCCATCGTTTCAACACTGCAGTGTTGGTAGTTGGCCAACAATTTCTGTCCTGCCATGGCAAGGACTGTCAGGAGACTGTCAGAGGGCTTGAAGTGGTGCTCAAACCTCTGGCCAGAGGGAGACCGGACCGCGAGCAGCACGTGGGGCTCTTCTAAGCTTAGAGGGGACGTGGAAGGGCTCTCCTGCCTCATTTTCCTTCCCCACTTCTCAGAGGGACAGTGCACATGGGAGCTCTCCTCAGCAGGAACATCTCTTCCTGACAATATGCTGCCAGATCCCTGCTCTCCAGACAGAGTTTTGCTGAATTTCAGAGTGTCCTGCCCCTCACTCACTTCCAGCCGGCTGGTCTG